GGTGGGGCGGGGGGGGGTGGGGGGGTGGGGGAGGGCAGCCTATAGATGGTTAGGACAGGAGGAGGAGGAAGCAACTGCATCTTTTTATCCCCATCACAGCCCAGAAGACGACTGGTTCCCCCCGTCTCTTTCTCTGCTCCCATCAGTTCGTGAAGAGCAGAGAAAAGTTCTGCAGTGCAGGTAAAAGAGGACGATGCTGGATAGAATTTAGCCAGAGCTGAGCCAGGACAGTTCAGTCCATACCCTTCAGGGGAGAGCAAGCCTTTCCTCCTCCTCCCCTCCTCTCCTCTCCTCTCCTCTCACTTTTCCCTGGCTCAGGAGGATCAGTACAGACATACAGTATGTGCATGGGTGTCATGTGTCCTATACCATGACCAACAGTCAAACTTCATGTTTAGTGTGTGCATCCATATTGTGTAATGGTTAGAGAGTTGACAGCTAAGAATGACTGCATTAACTGTGGATGTTATCAATGATGCTTCACAGACCATGTGACAGGATTTGCTATATATAAACATATAAAGGACACAAGGGGTACTGCACACAGTACACTGTACACAGACAAGGGTGTGGGTTCTATAGGTTATTGAAATAAAACTAAAAATTAAAATCTATAATGACAACAACAGACTCGACTGAACCAGTATATAATCTGGTGATTATAGTCATCATGCGTTTTACAGTAGCAGTTTAAAAATGTTTCCAATATAGTTATGTGCATTTTAGTTAAAAATGTTTATTTAACACCATGTACAAATTCTAAATATAAAACTAGATACCATTGCACATTAAAATACATTGCTTTACGTTACTTACACCCCTTAATTAGACATCACCAAGAAGCTTATCATTATGAACTTTGCATGAAAAATGAAAACATGTTCGTGCTGCAGAGAAAACATTTCATCAGCAGCTCAATAAAAAAACAAAAACACAAATTACAGCTGTAATACACAAATAACACAAACGTTTACATCAGACAAGGCTCACGTTGTTCATTACCATAGCCTGCATGTAAACTTTGTCTCATTAGATCATTGTCTCATTAAAACAGAAACAGTGGATATGGATGGAGTTTGGCCACTGAAAACCAATACTATTAAAAAACCCTTGTTGCAAAATATCAATTTTCAAAACTTGACATGACAAGTGTCAGACTAATGTCATGTCCATAGTCTTTAATAAATAGGACCCACACAGTTTAAAAAAAAAATGTACACAGATACCTATTTTAAGGCCTTTCACAATGCAAATACACAACAGAAAAGGTTAAAAAGGTGTACATTTAAAGGAACCCTAGCATGTGGACTTTTCAGCTCAATAAAGCAGCTACAGTACAAAGTTAGTTTAACTACAGGTCACCACAAACTGCACTGTGAGTGTGGCAGGTGGTCACAGAGCTGCTGCAATGACTTCATTAACTCTGTCAATCATAGGTGTGTCACTTATGAAGAGCCAACCTTTACAAATTAAATTTCCTTTCTACACCGTATTCAATATATTGGTCACCAATATATTGAATACGGTGTAGAAAGGCTTTGAGCTGAGGTGGAACGACCTATTATAATAAGACAGGACACTGTAAATGACTGAATGAAACACGCTCAAACACATTGTCCAAAAGCTAAAGGAAACTGGTAGGAAAGAAGGTTCTCTGCTTGGCAGGAAGCATCATTTTAAAATGCTGCACTTGTCTGTTTGTGTTCTTCTGATGAAAGGACTTCCAGATCCTTAAACATTATTATTGTATTATCTTGACAATGAGACGACGTCATCGTCTTAATCATGATCTTAATCACTACCATCATCTTCATCGCCATCGTCATCATCATCATCGTCGTCGTCCTCACCATCATCCTCCTCTTCATCATCATCTCCACTACTGGGCTCTGATTCTTCATCATCTGAACTATCTGCTTCCTTTTTCCCCTTCACAACTTTCAGAGCAACAGCCTCTTCAAATGCACTGATGCAGCAAACGTCACCAAACAATTCCAATAATGTCATGCATGCGCACACACACACACACACACACACACAAATGTATACAGTGAGATGGGCAGGATAAAAACAACCGGTGGAGAGACAGCCAAATGAGAAGTGCTTTAAAAGCCCAACATTTGCGTTACCTTATAGCAAATATTCAATGAAAACCTTATACAGAGGACCTCGAAGAATCCACCAAGTTTCAAGCGAACCCAGCCAGACGACCACAGAAAACTGATGTGCTTTCTGCTTCAGCGGAAAGACATAACCAAAACAAAATTACTTTGGTTTTACCCAAAATCAATTTGATTTACTCTCTGCATTAATATCAATTAAAAGCCCTTGAAGTGAAGTAAAGGAAGATTTACCAAGAAAATTCTTATCTGCCACATTTTGAAGAAGACACCTGAGAGTGAACATAGGATTCATGTCACCACAGCAGTTTTACGTCTGGTTTAAACAACAATATTTGTATGATGCTAAAATCATATAAAGAATTGAGTCATTTATGATGCAGGGCATGACTTAAAAAAGACACACATATGATACAATTAACACTGCTGCAGTGAAATGAAGTAAGAAGCATTTATCCATATTTACTCCTTGTCTACTGTTAGAAACACAGACACAATATAATAGAATACAATCAACGATAACACTTAGAATATTGTGAACAAATTTGGCCTTAAAACAAAATCAGTATGTGCTGCGTTACCATTATATTGAATTAAATTTAAAAAAAAAAAGTTTTACAATGACTTAGACAGTCAAACTGGAGGAGCAAAGATGGAGAAAAAGAGACATTCCCAGACTCAATTCTTATTGGTCTTTACCGGCACCAGTGGACCTACACAGCCAATGAGATATCAAACCAGTCCTTAAAAAGAAACTCTGGCCCTCACCACACGGTTGGGTTGTCCCAATCATGGTCTTGAGGACCCAGCTCTATGTTGTTCCCCGTGCATTTTTTCTTGTAGAGTCTCAGTGCTACGACACAACCGAGGAGGATCAGGATTACTCCACAGGAAATTCCAACAATGAGTGCCAGGATGCTGATCTCTGACAGGGAAACTAAAGTAAAGGGAGTTAAAAATTAGACATGAGTGGATTAAAGTAGTTAGGAGATTGTGAAAACAATAAAAGCAAAGCAGAGTCTGAGCAGCAACAGAAGAAAAAAAGCATTACATAATAATGCTGTTACCCTATTAACTGAACACTTTTGACAAAATTATGTCATATGTCGTTATGTGTCATATGTCAGTAATTAATAACCACTAAGGTGTGGCTCATTAGTGTACTGTGAAAAACTATCCAATTTAATTGGATATTGAATGTTGTTTATTTACTGCAGGTACTTTGTCTTTGGTCATCTATGTGACAATGTAATGAAATACTCTTCCATTAGGTTGAAACAGACGCCATTAAATATAAACTGATCTTCATGTGTTTTTCTTCAATTCCTGCAAGTACTGTATATCAGCGTTGTTGTCAAGTAAACAGGACCAGGTTGGAGAGGAAAAAAAATAAAATAGGGATCATCTGGAAATAACAGTTTTTGAAGAGCAATATACTGCGTAGAATGTCAAACTGGATCATAAATCTGAGGTTGAAAGTTCATAATAAATATCCTCTGAGCTTT